CTTTCCCTGAGTTCTGTTCCAAGCTTATTACTAAGAACCCAGAAAGCAAAATCACCCAGAAAACTAAACAACTCTCACTCCGATTACACATTCGTCCTCGAATCGACATTCCAATCATATCTACTTTTCATTTCACCAAATACTTTAAATCACCACAAGCAATCGAGTAACCAGAAGATCGAGCAGCTTCTGCAACCATATAGCAATCGCCTCGTATAATAATATCACGATGATTATAGCATTTTGATGCAAACCCTTCCTCGATTCTTATGTCCGGATCGGGGGGAAACCCATCTCGTAATCGCGGTCAAGATCGAAGCTTTGAAGAGAAAACTCGACGGCACTGATAGAAATTCCAAAATTTGCAGCCAACCCCGATGCAATTAAAGGGAGAGGAGAGTAGGTGCTTGGTTATGGCGAGATCCAATTAAAAAAGCTGAATGCCCATTGCCGTCAGTGCGCTCAAGCTCCAAAAAGGGAAAAAAAACTTGACCAGGTAGGCAAAAAAAAATTTCAAACTGGTTGGGCTGAAAAGGCGACGGCGAAAATTTTCCGAAGCTCTCAACTTTCAATTACTTCGACGGAACCGAACCTTCTTCATAAATCTGTTCTGTCAAAACATTGAAATCTTTTCCCTTTCTTCGAATTTGAACACGCGAGAATTACGCGGAGCTTATTATAATATCTCCGCCTCCAATTTAATTTCTCGTTTGCGTTCTTAACGCATAAATTATTAAAAACGTTACGGAAAAAGTTGTGGTTTATTTCAATTTCCATTTGAAACATCAAAATTATTATAATTATTATTCAATGGATATTATGTTATATCACACCACCAAATGCGAAAGAAAGGGTGAAGATATGGTGAGAAATAAATGCATGGACATATAGTCAAATTCCTTTGGGGAAAAAAGGTAGAGATTGAAATGAATAAATAAAGAAAAAGATTCGATATTTTGCATTTACATTATTCCTTTCACACACATTTCCTCATATTTTAAGAATTAAAATAAAAAATTTAAAATTTTTGCTTTTCATATATAGTTACACCTAATTTTGATTTGTGTTTGTTTTCTGTCATATTACCATTCTTTTTCTATATCCTAAAGTTTTTCCCTTTTGAACTTATCATTCCCTTTAAGACTTAATTGCATTAAAAAACAGTTATGCATATTAGATAAATATCATTTATATATATAACTTTTGCAGACTTAAATATGAATTGTAAAACTTTTATATTAAATGTTGAATTCGAATAATACATCTCACTACACACTTCTTCTCAAATCAAGCTTATATATGGACATTTAATGAAAAATAAGAAAAAACCTTGAATTAAAAAAAATGCGGGAAATGGATGCGTCATTATCTTTATTCATGAGAAAATTAAGGAAAAAATAGCAAATAAATACCTAAATTTTTATAAAAATATCGAATAAAATTTTGAGTTATAAAATTTCTATGTAAATATCTAAATTTCTCAAAAAAAATAAATCTAATAGAAATATCTAGATTTTTTAAAAAATTTCAAGTAAATCTAAAATATGTTAACGGTGTTGATTATTTTTATTTAAGAAATATCTAAATTTTGGGTTTATATGGAAAATTTTCAAAAGTCTAGATATTTATATAGTATTTTTATTAAATTCAAATATTTATATAAAATTTTAATAATTTAAGTATTTATTTGAAAATTTTATAAAAGTTTAGGTGCACATATACCATTTTTCCAAAATTAAAAGATCATGGAATGAAGCATCGATGCTCGTTTAGCTAAGCAATAAAGACAATTCCTTTGTGACCCTTTCCACTCATCTCTCTACTAGACAACGAACATATTCCCTTCTCACCTTTTAAGCACTCACAGATATTATTTATATATATAAGATTTTCCACGAAAAATAAAAAGAATCTCCACTCATTTTATTTTTACTTCTCATTGGAAGAATTTCATAATCTCAATTATTCCCTATCGTAAAATGATCATAAGGTCCATTATCTTCACACAAATCATACTGCGTGCATGTTACAAAAAGAAAAAAAACATAATGTTCACTAATTTTCACAATGGCAATGAGAAAAGTCTTCTTGGGCTGTTGTTTTCGTAGGTTACAATTATAATAATAATGAGTCTGCTTATGAAAAAAAAATTGATGATTTCTATTAGTTTTTCATATGATTCTATATATATGATATCATTAAACAAAAATCACATTTATTTTGTGTATATGAAGAAGATTCCATGTTGTTAACTTTTAACAATCTCTAACTCATCGCGCTATATAAGAACAAAACTAAACAAACCCTAAAAACTCGCACCCACAAAAAAAAAGAACCATCTTCGTCTTCGGTTCTTGAACATATGGCGAGTAGCAGTGGAAACGTCAAGGTAGAGATCCATGGCGAAGACAAGACGGCGAACAAGTGGAGCGTGGCTCTTGGAGAAGAAGTTTTCTGGCGATTTTTGAGCGGCGGAGGAGGAGGAGCCGCCGTTGCTTGGAAGGTATTTGGGGAAGGATCTCTATTCAGCCCTTTCCTTTTTGGGAAATATTTCGATCCGTCGGATGCGTTTCCGTTGTGGGAGTTCGAATCGGAGGTGCTTTTGTCCCATCTCCGTAGCTCCGGACAGTGTAAAGTCAATTGGTTTCAGACAGATCACGCTTATGTTCTTAAAGCTGAACTTCCTGGTTCGTCTACATCGTATTCTCATGCAACTTATCATGCCGTATAAGCTAAGCTTAATTATATTACAAATACATTCAATTTCGATCCAAACCTTAAAACTAGATCGAATCTTATAGTTCTAATCATGGGTTTTATTATTTTTTAAAATCGAGGTTTTTTGTTTTTTAATTATCGGTTTTTTCTAGATACATGGTAAGTATTATACCATGATTATATTCATGATATATCTAAAAACTATCCTTTACATTCAATAGTATTTTTACAACTTTAAATTCTCTCTCTATATAGATATATACACATGTATGACATTATGTAGTAAACTTGTCATGATATCATATCATAACCTAGTTTCAATCCAGGGTGATATTCTAACAAATTAATTTAGATCGATATCCTAACAAAAGTTTTGTTCTTTTATTTTTTAATAATGAATTAAGGAAATGAGAAGAACAACGTGAGAGTGTATGTGGACAAAGGGAAAGTGGTGGAAATAAGCGGACAATGGAAGCAGCAGACGCAAGGGGAGATGAATAACAAAAAGACTACAGGAACAAAGGATTGGAGAAGCGGACAGTGGTGGGAGTGCGGATACGTCCGCCGCCTCGAACTTCCCGGCGACGGCGACACTTCCGCCGCCGATGCCTTTGTTTCCTCCGACGACGTCTTTGAGATTCGCATCCCCAAGGACACCACCCACGACGCCACTTGTAAGCGCTCCGAATCCTTGCCACGATGATTATATGTTTTTTTTTAAAAAAAAAATATGTAATGATTACAGCAATATCTCGATTCAATGTGTGATTGTGTGATTAGCGATTTAGGAGCAACGAGAAGTGAATATTTCTAAACTATTATACCACTTTATCCCAATTACTCCAATATCAATTATATTTATAAGGGTAATTACCTCCTAAAAAATATAGCTCCATCATAATTTTAGATCTGTAGTCAATGTAACCATTAGGTGAAATAGGACTGATTATTCACAAGGGGAATAGGGATGAGAAACGATTCTGATCCGCGAGACGGTTCACGAGCCAACTCGATCGTTTTTACCGAATTGATTAGACTAAATAAATATGAGACCGAAAAAAAAACGGTCACGATGAACCGGCTCAGACGACATGCAAACAACAAATTTTTCCTTCAAAAAAATTTATTATTTATTATCTTTTGATTACTTTTAATAGTTTTAATATTATTTTTATTAATTTTAAATATATTATTGTTATTTATTAGTTTTTTATTCGGCTCGCGATTTGGATAACGATTCAAATCGAATAAAAATTTTCTCACTCGGTAAAAACGGATCACAAACACTTTGAGCTGAAAACGAGCCGATTCGTACCGAACAAGATTACCACTTATACTATATTTGCATCCCAATTACTGATATATATATATATATATATTTGGAGCTCTTAGCCTCTTACCAAAACCTAAATAGATTTAGCAACAGCTTTGTGTCATGTGAAGGCTTTGTTGCATCTTCTTTGTCCTTTATCCCCGTTTGCTTTTTATACATAAGTTTCACATGGAGAATTGTATCGCTCCTTTCTTTTTTTTTGAATCAGATAAAAACAATAAGAAATTATATGTCGTGATTTTTATCGACTCGAAATTACGACCAAAAAAAAATAAGGAACACAAATTAAGTTTTGTTTGCAATTTTGCACATTTTAACAAAAATGCCATGGGAAATAGTTTGCACATTTGAACGGATACAGTTAGTCTCTTGTATCATAAAATGAAATAATAACAATTACAATTTATAAAAATTACAATCAACCCTAATTAAAAAGTGAATTTGCAACATTACCATTTATAACAACACAAATGATGTTGTTCATTGTACTCCATCTTTTTTGTTTTAATCACGACTCCAATAGTTGTTATATTTATTTAATTATGCATGAAAATGATGACAAAAAGGTTAGGTCACGTAATATAAAAATCATAATTAAATTAGTAAAACATAAACAATCAACCAATTATATATATATATATATATATCATGGACTCCTAATAGTCGAACTAGGTTATATTTATTATTATTATTATTATATTATAATAATAATAATAATAATAATAATAATAATAATAATAATAATAATAATAATAATGTGTGTGTTGTTAGATTTGATTCCATTTTAGATATTTTTCGAAATGCGAACCGAAACATTTGGTCCTAAATAACATTATAGACCATGTCTTGTCTCATTCAAAATTAGAGATTAGATATCGATATTAATTTCTCGATCAGAAAAAAAAGGTGTTGTGATATATTGGATTAAATACGTTCGCTACATGTGGATGAAAAATAAATGTAGCTTTTGGTGTTCAGCTAACTTTTTTCTTCTTTCGCCCGAATTCAGCTAACTTCTTTTTTAAAAATTTAAGATGACTTCGTAATAAATAGACCACTTCATATAACGAGAGAGAAGTGAAGAAACAGAATTTAAACTACATGCGGACCACATTTCATAATTACAATGATTATAATTAAATGCAATCTCATATATTATATTATATTATATATGATCCCATATGTGACTCGTTCAGCATGTGTTATAGGATGCCACGTTGTAGGTAGAAAAACAACAATAGTCTGGTCCCACTATTGGAAAAAACAATATTTTTAATAAGGATTAATAGCCAAAAAACTAGGGGTGTCAAAATCACCGGGCCGGGCCAGCCCGGCCCGAGCCCGACACAAGCCCGAATATTTACGGGTCGGGCCGGCCCGGCCCGCACAACCAATTAAAATAATAAAAATACAAAAAATTTTAGTACATTTCGTGATAATTAAAAAAATAAAAAATAGATTACAAAGTTATATATTTTGATCTAATATAAATTTAAATTTAAAATTTTTTAATTTTATATGGTAATAAATTTTTAAAAATGATAATTTATTATATTTTTCATTTGGAATAAGTATTTGAAACTAATAGTATTATAATTTTGATTATATCATTTATGAAAATATTATATCCTGAATTATTTAGTATTAAACAAGTTTTTAGTTTTTAGAACTTTCTATTATTATATAATATTTGTATATTTTTTATATATGTATATACATTATAAAATATATATATATATATATATAAAAGATTGAATAAATGTATATATATGATCAAATATGTGTGAAATATATATATGTATATCTATATTTACCTATATACATATATATTTATACATATAATTTATTTTTTTAATCGGGCCTATGGGCCGGGTCGGGCTGACCCGGCCCGAACCCGTTTTTGGCCCGTAATTTTCCGGGCCGGGCCGGCCCGGCCCGAAAAACGAATGGGCCTTGATTTGTAAAGCCCAAGCCCGCAAATTTTACGGGCGGGTTCGGGCCGGGTATCGGGCCTCGGGCTATTTTGACACCCCTACAAAAAACTCTATATTTTTCTCAGGTCAACAAAAAAATCATATACTTTTTTTATTACCAATTAAATATTATACTTGGTGTGATTAATTCATAAAACTCCGTACTTTTTAAAAATTCACCGAAAATCCCCCGTGAATACCAACTCAAACAAAAATGATGATGTGGCAATGACATGACATGAACACATCATCATAATTATCCCACATCATCATTTTAAACAAAATTTAAATTAAATTATTTATTTAAATTAATATATATACATACAAATTCCCACATACCCAACTCAAACAAAAATGATGATGTGGCAATGACATGACATGAACACATCATCATAATTATCCCACATCATCATTTTAAACAAAATTTAAATTAAATTATTTATTTAAATTAATATATATACATACAAATTCCCACATACATATATATATATTTAAAATAAAATTATTTGTAATTAATAAAACATATATACACATAACTACAATATAAATATATATTATAACTAATGTATATATATATATATATTAAAATAAAAGTAATTCTAATTAATTTTATATACATGATATATATTAAAATACAAATAATTATAACTAACATATATATATGCATATATATATATATATATTATTTATAATATAATTTATAATATATATATTATATGCATATATTTTTTATTAGTTATAAGTAATTTTATATTTAATATATATATATATATGTGTGAATTTGTATATATATATATATTAATTTAATTTAAATTTTGTTTGAAATGATGATGTGGCATAATTATGATGATGTGTCCATGCCATGTCATTGCCACATCATCATTTTTGCTTGAGTTGGCATTCACGGGAGATTTTCGGTGAATTTTTAAAAAGTACGGGATTTTATGAATTAATCACACCAAATATAGGGTTTAATTGGTAATAAAAAAGTATAGGGTTTTTCGTTGAGCTGAGAAAAGTACAGAGTTTTTTTTTGGCGATTACCCCTTAATAATTTATTTAAAATGATATGCTATATATTGTGACGCTATCTGATTTGCATGAGCTTTGCATCATCCATCCTTTTTATTATTAATATTTTTTAAATAATTTTGTCAATATATACTCTGCATAGAATAATAATAATAATATTAAACATAAGAATACTAGAGACTGATAGGGTACTAGGCCACATCCAAAATCTTAATTTACTTGTAAATTTTTAGTAACAAACATTAAAATGTCCCCATTAAAATAAAATTAGGCCGGCTTTCCTTTTTTTTTTCATATTTTTTTTCTCTTAAAATAAGATTATGTATTAACATTTGCTCCCATTAATAATAATTTTTTTTTTGTGTCCGCCATTCGAGACAGATATCCAATATACGTGAGTATTCATGCACGACGATACATATGAGTCTTATAAACTTTATTTTATTTTTATCAAACTATTTTAATGTAAAACTCATTTGGCATTTCTCAAATTATTGCATAAAAATAAATTATTATTTTTTCAAAACGTTGAACAATACTCTTTCATCCTACAACATATAATCAGATTCAAGAAATCATACGATAAGAATGAAAATTTTCACGAGTTCATTAATGAAAGTGTATCATAACACTATAAGACCAATTAGAGATAACATTTTTTTTATAAATTAAATTTTCATGGACAGATTTTTTTTTTTTGGGTTAAAGTGGACAGATTCGGAATTGAAGAGCATAGATTTTCGATATTCACATGACTTGAAAATAACACGACAAAAGACAACTTCGTAAATGGACAATGAAAGACCATGCCTTTTCAATGCATCATCATCGTGACTTGCTACGATAAGATTTTATATGATTTATGTTAATTATATAACCTAACGTTAAACTTTACTGTTATACTATAAAATACTGGAAAAATAATCAAGTTACTATAAATAATTATTATTTAAAAGTTTCAGCTACTCTAAGATTATTATTTATTCATTTTGAATATCCATAAACTGGTTTAACAAAAAAAATATATCCATAAACTGTAATATCAAATGTTTATTTATATCTCATGTGATGGTTTCTCCTCTCGACTTTCATTCTTGCTTTGATAAAGCAACGGCTGCGATTGCATCAGTTCCGGTGGCTTCAGATCCAATTAACGGACCACGTTCCTCTCTCTCTCTCTCTCTCTCTCTCTCTCTCTCTCTCTTTCTCTCTCTCTGTTGTGCGTGTGAAGTTTCAAAAACAAAGACAGTAGAAGCTAGCGACCGCGGGGCAGAACAGAGGCGTGCCTCCATTTCTAAGCTAAAGCAACACAACAAGGAACCGTCTTAAATGCTAACGTTCTTCCTGTTTTTTTCCCTCTGTTCTTCTCTCGAGTCACTCTCACCAGTTCTTACAAATCTCGAGCGTTTGTGTTGAAATGGGCATTCATTGTTCCCCTTCTCTCTCAGTCTAAGGCCAGTGGGTTTCTTCCCTTTTTTCCTCCGTAACTTTTCTCTGGATTTCTTTCCGTTCAAAGTTTCAATCTTCATCTGCTTTCTTCTCATAATGGGTGTCTTTTCGTTTGCACTTCCTGTTAAAAAGTTTTAAAAGATGTTTGAATCGTTGAAATCCTTCACGGGTCTCCTTCTTTTCTCATTTAATCTGAAAAAGTTAAACCCTTTTGCAGGTTTTTGCGTTTATTGGTGAGACTCGGACGAATTCGGAAAGAAAAAAGTTTCAATTTTTCCCGGGAAAAGGAAAGAAAATGGTGGGGGCAAACAACGGAAGAATCCGGCCGGCGTTTCCGGCGCTGAACGGGTCGAGAGATCTGACGCCGAGCAGTGTGGGATCTGAAAATGGCGCCGTTGAGTTCACCAGAGAAGACGTGGAGGCTCTTCTCAGTGAACGAATCAAGTACAAGAGCAAGTTCGACTACAAGGTCTCGTCTTTTTCTCTCCCACAAAAACATGAAGTTTCATCCTTTTCCCCTGAATTTGAAATGTGTTTCTTCTCTTGTTATGTTTGGCTTGAAAAAGGAACCTGCTTTAGTTAGTAAGTGTTTGATACTTTGGTTGTTTCACTGGTGTTTGAACTCTAGACTTCAGTTCTAGGGACGAACACGACGTATTGGGACAATTCCCTGAGAGAATCTGTCAATAAGATTCCTATGAGTTTCATTCTCGAAATTTTGGGATTGTAGTTGTTAAATCTAAACGTTTTAGTTCTTGTGGTGAGCAAGAATCTTGAAACTACAAACAGCATAATGGTTGGATCCCTTGCCTCTTGAAAAGAATATGAACATAATGATATAACTTCTTGTCATCCGATGGCATTCTCTTGTGCAGACACTTAGGGTAGAATCCCGGTTTGAGTTATTTTCGGTTGAAAATATGAGGTTGTGCCCCTTATTCTGCTGTTCCCTGGCCCTTTTTCTTAATGCAGGAGAGGTGTGAGAATATGATGGACTACATTAAAAGGCTGAGACTTTGCATTAGATGGTTTCAAGAACTCGAGTTGGATTATGCTTTTGAGCAAGAGAAGTTGAGGAATGCATCGACGACGGCTGAGAAGCATTGTGCTGATATGGGTGCGTATTGGATCAGCATTTGATAAACTGTTGATAGATATTCTGTGTTAAACTGTTGTTTTTTTTTAATTTGAAAATTCGAGGGTTTAAATACAGATCCGTGCATCTGATAAACAGAGTTAAGTTTAAGAAACAAGGAAGAGGAGCTGAATATTATTGTTGAAGAACTGAGGAGGAATTTTACCGCTGTTCAGGAGCGACTCACCAAAGAACAATCAGATAAGTTGGTAAGAAAATGACATGTTCCAGTTTCAAATATTTTCTTGTCTGTTTTAATATTGGGGTTTAGCTAAGTTGGCATGTTCTGTGTAAGGCCGCCATTGATTCTCTTGAAAAAGAGAAAGAAGCAAGAGTTGCTGTTGAGAAGGCGCAAGCTGCTCTAGCAGAAGAATTAGGAAAAGCTCAAGGAGATCTTCAGATAGCTAATCAGAGGGTGAGAAATGGTAAAGATCATTCGAGAAATTATCATCAACAATTTTGGTAAATGTTGAACATTTTTTGTTTTTTTTTCCAGATTCAATCCATCAATGATATGTATAAACTGCTGCAAGAGTACAACTCAAGCTTGCAGCTGTATAACAGCAAGCTCCAAGGTGATCTTGATGAAGCACATGAAGCTATAAAGCGAGGGGAGAAGGACCGAACTGTCATTGTTGAAAGTATCGGCAACTTGAAGGGTCAACATAAAGCTTTGCAGGATCAGCTTGCTGCTTCTAAGGTGGTTTATTCTGCATTTACTTGATTACGGTAAATAGAGTTAGACTAGTTATTGATGGGTGTCTTGTTTTTTTGTTAGGCCTCTCAGGAAGAGATTACGAAGCAAAAAGAAGAGTTGGTGAATGAAGTTGCAGGTCTCAAGGTGGAATTTCAGCACATCAAAGATGAGCGTGACTGCCGGATAGTGGAAGTACAAAACCTGCAAGCCGAGGCAACTAAGTACAGTGACTTGAAAAACACCATTAATGAGCTTGAGGTTTTGTCTCATTGTGTTATGTACTCCCATATTTTCATATGTCTGAAGATTACTGTTCTTAAAGACATTGTAACATTTTGTTCAGACAAAGTATTCATCGCAAAACAGCCAGATAAAAGAGTTGCAGGATCAGTTAGCAGCTACCGAGAGGAGACTGCAGGTATCGTTTCTTGAATGAAAAAATAAATCATACACATACGACATGCATATATATGGTAAATGATTAAATTCTTTTGTCATTACTGATCATTGTAGGTGTCGGATTTATCTGTCTTTGAGAAAATGAATGAGTATGAGGGGCAAAAGGAAGTTGCGAATGAGCTAAAAAGTCGCTTAGAAGAAGCAGAGCTTAAACTCATCGAAGGGGAAAAACTACGCAAGAAGTTACACAATACCATACTGGTAAGATGCTCTTAACTTCCCTACACTTCTCTGCCTCCG